AGGAGGCTACAATGCTTGATAAGAAATGTACTCATTATCTTGCCCATGTAATTGTAACCCCTCTGTACAGTATTTTCACAATAAAAAAAGAATATTCTTACTCTATAAGACTAAATTGCATAAATGATAAACCAGCTTGCTACAATTTATCTTTTCAACTTGTGAGAAAGTCTTGATTATTTGCTAAGTTGAGTGGGTACTGCTTTTATCACCAACCCACTATACCTGTTTATGTACTGTAATGACAATGCTGATTTAACTAAATAATATCTATTTTTGATTTTGTACTTTTAATAGCTTCTGTATATATATATATATATATGTGTGTGTGTGTGTGTGTGTATATATATGCACCTATATATGTATATATGGCACAATAAAGAGCAGATTTTCACTCAGGCATTTGAATAATGAAAAGTGTATCTTATTTAACATGCATAAAAATGTGCTCTTTTTGGAAATATTCTGAACTGATGACTTGATATCCTCAAAACTGAAATGCAAATTTTTGCACTCCAAGAACCTACATAAGAATGTATCGATCACTACACATTGTGCAGTTAGGTACTCAGGAAATGTTCATTAAAACTAAGTACAAAAAACACTTTTATTTAAAAAGAAATGATTACCTTAAATCACAGCTCACTCTTGGTGTTCAGTGCAGTAGACATGCAGTGCCATGGGCTTTGTTCCTGTGGCCAGGTCTCCATAGCATTGTCTTCCTGTCTACACTTAACTGAGTTCATTTGTGGAGCTGGGGAATTTGGAGCCCTGGGTATGCCTGCAGCCCTGTATTTTACCTATGACTAGCATTTCTCTTGAATGGTCCTGATCCTAACTTCCTGATTCATAAACTTGCTTTTGCAAAGCTGTCTGGGATTTCTTTAAACAATCAAGCTCTCTCCGTATCTCAATATTTCTCCCCACCAGAGTTTATTGCCATGTACACTTACGAGAGTTCTGAGCAAGGAGATTTAACCTTTCAGCAAGGGGATGTGATTTTGGTTACCAAGAAAGATGGTGACTGGTGGACAGGAACAGTGGGCGACAAGTCCGGAGTCTTCCCTTCTAACTATGTGAGGCTTAAAGATTCAGAGGTAAACCCACATTAACTGTTTCCTCTCCCTTTCTGTGTGGTGCTTCCCCCCGCCGGGAGTCACGATGTCTGACAGTGGAACTGGGTCTTCTGAGTTCTGGAATGTGGCTGTAACTAGAATGTGATCTGCAACTGTCTGACCTTGTCATTTGGTGCTGTGGGACACACTTTGGCTTCCCACAAGCACAGCTACGGTGGGCTAAGTGGAGTTCTGGAGATGGCCTTGTCAATGGAGAGTTTCAGGACCTACCTGCAGTCATTTAGCAGCTCCATATAAATGAGCCACTAGGAATTGGCCTTTTTTTTTTTTTTCAGCATTAAAGGGACTGATTATCAGCTGTTATAATCATCAGTATTAATCTCTCACTCTCAGTACCTGCATGTGACCATCTTAGGGGTTCATTTAGATTTGTTTGATCACTGGTCAGCTTTGTGATCATTTGATCTTTAGCAGTGTTTTAATCTATATACACAGAGGTATCCTGGTGATAGCAGCCTCAGAACATTGGGCAATGGAAATTTTCTTAAATTTGTTTTTTTGTGAAAACATAAAAAGATACAAGATCTAGAGACTGGCATATTTTGGGAATGACTCCCATTGTTGTTAAATGGAGCCTTGAAAATTTGATTGCATAAAATATGTTCTTGAGGTAGTGCAAGTTTAATGAAAAGGCTGGGACTGTATTGTAGTGGCCAAGTTCAAGTTAATAGAGAGTTCCAGGGTATAAATCCAGTCATTTAGCAAATCCACATAAATAAACCAGCAGGAATTGGCTCTTTTCTTAAAGCACAGTGAATACCCAGTTATTTTCTTTTTCTTCTCACACCTCCAAGGCACTGAGAGAAAAAAGGCTGGCACAGAACCCTGTAGAGACTGCTTTCTCGGGTGTAGGCAAGTGGACAAAGCGCTTGGCCCTCTTTCTCTCTCTCTCTCTCTCTCTCTTATTTAAATGCCAGGAAGAGGGTATATCTTGGGCCTTTCTGTACTCCTAGTGGCTTTGGACTGAGGCTGGGCCTGGCAACTTGCTACAGCAGCTTTGCCACTGGCCTTCTAACCTCCCTGCAGTCCCCAGGATGATTTTATATGTTTAAGAGGGTATTTATGTGCCGGTCCTGGGACATTAATTCAGGGCCTGGGTGCTATCCCTGAGTTTTTTTTGCTCAAGGCTGGTGCTTTACCACTTGAGCCACAGCTCCACTTCTGGCTCTTTTGATGCTTAATTAGAGATAAGAGTCTCCCTGGCTAGGCTGGCTTCAAACCACAATCCTCAGATCTCAGCCTGTTGAGTAGCTAAGTTTACAGGCATGAGCTACAGATGCCTGGCTTTGTTTTTGGTTTTGTTTTGTAAGAGTTATCACATTTTTTTGTTTGTTTTTCTTCCTTGGGTCATGAAAGAAGTTTGCTGAAATTCCTCTGGGTGTTTGTGTAAGTCTCCTCATCCCTGGAGAATTGTGCAGAAACCTGGAAGAAAATAACTTTTCCCTATAAGATAGCTGGCCTATGGGACTATTACCACCTATAAAGGGATAATTAAGCACTTCTTCAGGCTAGCAGATTAACTCCAGGAAAAATAATACATGATATTACAGGGGGATGGAGGATAACACTAAAAGTTAAACGTAACTTCTGTTATTATATATTATCTTTTGGAATAGTTAAAACATAAAAGCCATTTGGCTTATGTATAATGTATTTTTACTTTATTAAATTTAAATGTTATGTAAATTTTGTTGATGTAAGGAATCAAAATATATTTCATTAGCAGTAAAAATAATCTAAGTCAATATTAAACACATAAACCATTGCTTTTGTTATAGATTAATAAATTAGCTTTATATCTAAAAAAAATCTGAAGTAAGTAAAAAAAAAAGTATATCCTGTTACTTGTTTAAAAGTTTAGCTGGGTTACAAGGTGCTTTCTTAATCAGCATCTACCTAGTAGCTACAGAAGAGCTACAGAGTTTTAGATAGATATTTAGGTATTCTTCAATAATGAAGAAAAATCTACAAAGCTAGCTCTTTGATCTACTCACATACAGAGTTGGATGTAGGAGTAAAGTGTCCTACCAAACTTGAGAACAGACTTAGTGTCAGACACCAGGCCAGACCTGTTGGCCTGTGAACAATGTCCTCCTGACTCCTTCTCTGGAGCAGCATCCAAGGAAGCCTTCTCCAGACGCCCAGCCAGAACAAAATCTGGCCTCCTGAGTCGTCCCAGCTTACAGTCTGGTGCAGTTTCTCAAAGGGAGCTTGTTAAGGTATTTGAACTCTGGCTGAGCATCATCAATGGCTCTCTTTTTATGGAGTATGAGGAATACATTCTATGCCTGTATAGGGGAAGAAACTGGAATCTCGTGTCATTGGCATTCCTTCCTTTATATACAGTCTATGAAAAGAGTATAAGAACGTTTGTGAATTAAAGAAACAATCAGTAAAACTTGCAACCAAACTTGTCTTGCTAAGTGGTTATTAAATTCCAACAATCAAAATATGGGGATGATGATGTTATGTTCTTGGTAAATAAATTAGTTTAGGTACATATAATTTAGTCTTGTGGTTAAACTCTGATTTATTAAACCTTTTGTCTTCTTTTAATTAGCATATTTACTGCAAAATAGAGACAGGAGCCAGGGGTGAACCTTAATTCAGAGCATAGCACTTCAGTCACAACAGATTGCATTCTGGCCCCTGTCCTGGCTCTCGTGGTCTTTGCTGGCTGACTCAGCTAGATTAAAATCCCATGAGTATCCACATGAGGAATTCAAGCCTAGAGCATTTCTGAAACACTTAGTAGTTGGAAAGAAACCTGGTGTGCTTCAATGGATTGTGCCTCCAGCACGGATAGAGAATGTCAGTGTGCAGACAGTGTGAAATTGGGTAGATATGCCTGCAGGCCAGGGGGCGTCCTCTCTAGATAGAGGAGAATAGGGTGGGGGAAGTGAGGATTTCAGCAGTTCTGTGCTTTATCAGTTCTTTAAAAAAGGAAATTTTCAAATGTAGCAAAAAGATTAATATATTAATATTTTAATACAACAAATCTGAGTAGTAGGATCGAGATGTGTTATAGTCTCTATACTTTTATATATGAGATATTTCCTAATTAGTCACTTGAAATAAAGCAGGAGTAAGAGTGTGCCAGCAGAAATCCTGGCATGGAGCCTCCCGTTGGCTGGGATGTGCCACGCAGTCCCTGCCCAAGCCTCCCAGGGGGGTCTGCAGTGTCATGCACTTCACTCTGCTTCTCTTAATGAAAACAGTAAAAGCCACCTGTTTTAAAGTGCCTGCTTTGAGCCTGGCGGTTCAGGTACACACCCTCTTGTCAGGTGAGACAGTTGCTACTATGGTTCCCCAGAATGTGAAAGGGGAATTTAGAGGCTCATATGGGTTTGTATCATTAATCGCTTTTTAAGTTGCCTAATCAAAATTCTTCAGCATGCAAATGAGACCTTTTGCTCTGTTTTAAGGGCTCTGGAACTGCTGGGAAAACAGGGAGTTTAGGAAAAAAACCTGGTAAGTTACAAACCCTGATGCTTATGTTTCCATGTTATGAATGTAATTGATAGTTTGTTCATGAAGGCCAAAAGTCCAAAGTAGAAACAAAAGGATCTTCCCTAAAAGTGTTCAAAATAAATTCTTTACTTGGAATCCACTAATAAAATATATATGGGTGTAAACTGTGGCTGTGGGGTCTGGAAATGATGGGTTGTGAAACAGTAACTCAGGCAAAATGGTGGGTGTTTGTTCTTGTTTTTACATGGATCTATGGGATCTGCTTCCCAGTGATCTTGTTAGACTCCAGAAGCTCCGCTCATTTCCTGGCCTGTGCAGCCCCAGGACACAAAAGTGGAAGACCTCAGAAGCATAGAAGACATTGTCAGATTGCAGGAAGCCATTGAATGGTTTTCCTTGCGTTCATGTTGAAGATACAAAATGGCAGTCTTGCCTCTGAATTCAGAGTTTTCATTTATTTAAGCAAAATCACATGTTTTAGAAATAGTAGCACTAAGGAGCGAAGGAAGAGGGAGCTGTGAAATAGCATGGTTTGTGTGGCCTGTCTTCCTGACCTAGGTCATTTGCGCTGTTTTTCTATCATATCCTTAAGAAATTATAGATGGAGACATTCACCACTGTGGTGAGGGAGATTGGCATGTGTGTCTGGTGCTAAGCTCTGAATGGGCTTACCTGGCTGGCAAAAGAGGGTTTCAGCTTGTCTGGGGTTTTAGTCAGACCCTGTTGGTCAACTCGCTGTTAAAATAGAGTCTCACACTTTCATAGTTTGTCATTCCCAAGGGCCCAGGTTTCTCACAGACCCGGGAGGGATTTTTACATGGAAACTAGCAAACGGCTCAGAGACAAAGCAGCAGCAGTAGGCAGATCGCTGGCTCGGATGCAGATCCCTTGAGGAGCCAAATAGGACACTAATTGGAGCTTTCTCCAGACCAAAAAACTGTTGGAATCCAGAGTCTGTCCTTGGCATGTCACAGGAGATTCTTCAACTCAAGTAGATTTCCCAGCTGGAACTCTGATCAGAGCCAGGCTCTCTATAAGCTGGCCCCTAGGCTGTCTTGCTTCCTTGAGCTTTTTAAAGCACAAAGCAGGCCAGACTTGCCCTTCGCCACATGGCACACCGTCCCGGGTGGCTGAGCTCAGGTTGCAGGATGGGCTTCTGCAGGTAGGATGGGGCTTCTTGCCTCCTTTCTTTCCATCACTCTCTGCCGCATTCCTCTTTCTCCTTGCCTGCCATCTTACCTTCATCCTCTCCTTTGTTCCTTCCCTTTCAGGAATTATCGTGGTGGGAAGCAAGTGTGGAGGAATAGAGCAGTGTTCAGTAATTCTTCTAGAAGTTCAGGAAGTGGCAGCCTCAAATGTGCCAGAATCCTTTGGGCAAGAGGCTGTCTTTTCATACTTGACCTCAGTGCCAGCAGAAATGGGCTTTCTGGAAGCTGGTCTGTAGTCCAACTGAGATTTTTCTCATAGGATTTAAAAAGTACAGAGCTGTTTACATTTGTTTTCTCTGCACTACATTGTTGTTTTTGCATGAAATTTCCTTAACTTCAGGTTTCTCCTTTAACATGAAACAAAAAGAAGGACATTGGTATTGCTGTGATTTATATTAGAAATTCAGAGATTACTCCCAAAATAGGAGTCATGAAGAAAATGGTTGTGTTGATGGGAATGAGACCAAAACCACACATATGGATAAACTTCAGCTGGCTCCCAGTGGTCTCTGAGGAAAAGAAGAGTTTCTCTCTCTACTGTCCTTGGCGGGAGGAAAACCCGTCCCCTGGGTTCTTTTATTCACTAAGTACTGATGGAGTGAATGAGGTATTCCCAGTAACTAGAATGGGGGTGGGGTCAGAGGGTGAGGGAAATGGGCAGGAGATGGGATTTTACTGCCAGAAATTGGTAAGTAATTCCTGACGCAGTGATAGAAGATGGAGCCCAATAGAAAGACCAGCCAGCTACAATTTGCACTGTAGCTCTGGGAAAAGGTGGGGGTGGGGCGGGGCGGGGAGCCTCCTTCATTGAGTAGAAAAGCTGCCAAATGTCCTGGTGTTCATGAGGTAACTGTGTCCTTAGGAGTTCCTTCTCTTGAGTCTTAACAGTGCACTGCAATGTTTGATCTTGTTTTTCAGAAATTGCTCAGGTCATTGCCTCATACACTGCTACAGGTCCTGAACAACTCACTCTGGCGCCTGGTCAGTTGATTTTGATCCGAAAAAAGAACCCAGGTGGATGGTGGGAAGGAGAGCTGCAAGTTAGTGTCTTTTCTATTTATTTTAAATTCTTGATCCAAGTGTGTATGCAAAATTTCAAAGGCACAGTATCTCCCTGTAAAATGCAAAGAAGCCTCCACTGCCTGCACTGTGCATTTGGACAATGAGATTTCTGAATCTGTTTGGTTTCTAAGCTTCAGACAGCCACCAACAGAATTCATCTGATAAAATCCATCCAATTGCTAGTTGAGTTTGTGAGTGTAGAGATAGCGAGAATTCATGGGACAATGATGGCTACATATGGGAGACTGATAATGTCCTAATAGATCATGGTGTGCAGAAGAGAGCCTTCCTTTATCAGTAAGGGTAGTTGGTATGCTCCAGGAGCAGACTTCTTTTGATGCTCATCTGTTCCTCATTCTGATTTTCGTTCCCATGTATATGTCTCTGTGGACCTGTGTGTTATGCTTATCAAAATGTTGGACATAATATTGATCCAGACACTGTCTGAAAAGGGCACAGTATCAGTTACCTACAATTCTCGCCAGAGGCATATTAACTAAGTCTAATCATGAGGAAACATTACATTCAAAATGAGGAATGTTCATTTAAAAAGGAGGGTAGCTGCGTCTGTAGTCTTTGATAATGTCAGTGACAAAACCTGCAGAAAGGAGATAAATGAGATGTGCCCATAGACAACAATATCTGATTCTAGACAGCCCCTCCTTGAAAGAAAAATACATCAGGATAATTGACAAAATTGGGATAGAGACCCCAAACTGGACAAAAATATTACACCTATGTTAAATTTACTAGACTTGATAAGTATTCTGTGGTTCTAAAGAGAATATTTCTATTTTTAGTAAATACCTATTGAAGAGCCATAATATAAACAACTTAGAATCAAATGATTGTGGAAAGGAAATTACAAAGTGGGAAGAAGTGGGGGCGGGAGCAGATGGGATAAAATGTTATTAAGTGAATCCAGGTGAAGAGTGTTAGGAGTGCCTCACACATCTTTCTTCCTGTTAATTTTCCATAAACTAAAAAGTATTTCTAAGTCAAGAGCTCCTTTCTAAAAGTTGCTTTACGTTATTTTCCAGATAGGGTCTCATGCTTTTGTCTGGGGTGGCCTGGACTACCATCCTTCTCTTAGGCTGGGGTCACAAGACACTTGCCAACCTGCCCTATTTGAGACGGGGTCACTGTGACTTTTTGCCAGGCTTGTGTTGAGCCATAACCCTCCTTAAAATGGGATTACAGTCATGAGCCATCCCCCTCAGCCCCAGGGATAAGCTGTTAAAACATTTGCCACCACTCCACTGTTGAATGGGGCTGGGGAGTGGCCACGCAGACCACAGACCAGTCCCTGTGCAGCTGCACAGCCAGTGCTCACCAGCCTTTGAGTCCACATGTCCCTCACCTGATCACAAAACTGAAGCAATCTGTATTGCCCTTTCTCCTCAGCCTGCAGGGGTGGTGAGCGGGCGGAGGGGGGAGGGGGAAGACACTGGCCCTGATTCTCTTTGTAGCCTTTCCTCTCACCCACTGTAGCCACTTCTCTACCACTGCCTCATATGACAGTTGATTTGAAAGTACACCCCAGGACTTGCAGGCCTCACTGCCACAGCTGGCAGCTTCCCTCCTCTTGCCACAGACTCCTGCCTCTTGGATTCCTGGAGGAAGCTCGTTGGGAACCTCCTAACAGGAAGCACCTTCTCCATTCCCCTGAATTTGGGCACTGGTCTCAGGCCTGCCCCACTCCTGGCATTTCACAGCTGATCCATATCTTATTACTTAGCTCTCCCATGTGTGTTTCTTATTTCTACACTGAGGTGATCAGCTCTTTGAAGGCATGTTGCTCAAAAGAGTTTGAATGGCTCTTGGACTCCACTGTAAGATAGCTGGATTAGGGCTGGGAAGGTGGCTCAGTGGTAGAGCGCTTGCCTTGCATGCCTGAGGCCCTGGGTTTGATTCCTCAGCACCACATAAGCAAAAAGAAAAAAGCCGGAAGTGGTGCTGTGGCTCAAGTGGTAGAGTGCTAGCCTTGAGCTGAAGAGCTGAAGGACAGCCCCCAGGCCCAGAGTTCAGGCCCCACGACCGGGCCCAAAAAAAAAAAAAAAAAATCCAATGGAGAAAATAATTGTAACTTTCTGATTTAATCCAAAGGTTACTTTCTATCTAATATGAAATAAAGAAACTAAATCTCCATTTAAAAAAAAAAAAGATAGCTGGATTACCATGCCTGGGATAGCTCCTGGCACTGTACTCAGATTGCTTTCCAGTGTGGATACATAAGTGAGGAAATTCACAAGTGCTTTGGATCTGCCCTTGAAAAACTAGAAGTGGGACAGAGGAGTCACTGTGAACCTCAAGGCCGTTCACTAGATAGATATATACATGGGAGCATGTAAACATAAATGCTGTAGTCCTTGAGCCAAGAGCAGAAAGCCTTATCAGACCACAGGATTGATGAGGGCACTTGAGCTGTTCTTAGAATGTAACCAGAGATATATCTGATTGACAAGTTGACAGGTAGAATGTCAGAAGGTGTCAGCAGTTTTCTTTTAGTTTTTTATTTCCCTGGTTTTGGAATAGGTGTTATATTCAGGGTACGTTTAAAAATAAGAAAAAGGAATATAGATGTTCCACTTCCCTGTCCCCAAGGGCAACAGTTTTCATTGCAGTCTTGTTTCTAGAGATTCTGTTTCTGGGTGTGTTTGCACACGTGTGTGTGGACATGCACATGCACATGTTGTTTTGAGTTCTTTCCCTGATGGTGTGCAAAAGGGCAGTCATGGCCGTTCTCATGATCATAGCCAGAGTTTTTGTGGAATTGTGTCATAACTGCAAGTCTTGGCTCACCAACGTTATCTTAAACTCCTCCCTGCTAACTCTTTCCAGTAATTCCCAGCACGTAAACAATCAGTAAAGAAGGGACCAGCGGTGGAAAATGTGTTGTAACCACGTGGGCCTGATGACTTTTGATAAACAGCATCACATTAAGCCTCCCCGTGTTCTCTGGTTACTGCATGTGTGTCATCTTGCATCTAGGGGAGTGTAGCATGTTCCTAACTCGTCGGTAGCCTTGGACGGCCACATAGGTTTTCCAAGCTCATCATCTTCACCTTGAAATGGCGAAGAATAATAGCACTGTCTTTCTGGAACTTTGTGTACATATAAGGCACTTAGCATGGGACCTGGATCATAAAAGGCACTCACTGTTGCTGGCCAGTATTATTATCAATCCTAAAACTCATATATGATGTTGGCATTAACCATAATCTCTACTTTTTCCAAAATTAGCAGCTGTGTGCCAACTAGTTCTCTACCTTAGACATACTACAGAATATCCTGAATTTGTGACCAGTGACACTTGGAAAACATTCCAACTTGCTGACCAGTGGCTGCTGTGCTTTGAATTGTAGTCATTGTAGAATTGTTTTATCTTGGTGACGTGAGGCCCCACCCACAGATGCTATGCCTAACACCATGTGTGTTTCAGATTCATAAAAGCTGCTCAATGCAAATTGAATAATCAAAGCTGAACCAGTAACATTTTTATTTGATTTTTTTTTTAATTAGGCACGTGGGAAAAAACGCCAGATAGGTTGGTTCCCAGCAAATTACGTCAAACTTCTAAGCCCTGGGACAAGCAAAATCACTCCAACAGAGCTACCTAAGTCAGCGGCACTGCCAACAGGTAAGAGTTTTGCAGCTTTTGTTGGAGAATGGTGTGACATGGCCCTTTTTCACTTGGTTTTCTCACAAAGCATCTAAGATTGTTTTCCTCACATGTGCTTTTCAGCCCTTTTTATGCTTGCTGGAACAACACCCAGCTAATGTGATATGGAATATGTTTTTCAAGAGGACCAAATAACTAAGTGGCTTTACTGTGCAGGGGACAACAGAGCCTTTGTTGACACTCTCCTGCCGAAGCAGTCCTGAATACTGTGGCATTAAAGCCAGATTTTTCCCTTGGTTTTCTTCCAGCCATTTTAAAATGGGATTGGGGCTAGCGGGTGAGGCAGCAGAAAGAGGCTCCTAAAAATAAATGGCTGGGGGTCTGGTTAGGGTCAGGAGATTTAGCTGGAGGCCACAGGCTCTGCTGGCCATAATGTGGTGCTCACCAAAGACTGAAATAACCCCCCATGGCATTTACTGGGACAGAGGGCCTCACTGAGGGGGCCAGGATGTTGTGCACACTTTCCTAGAGGGCTGCAAAAGGGCAGAGCACTGCAGTTGACCCCGATGGCTATTTTCTGATCTAAGGGACTGAATTAGATGCTTCAGTGATTATGAGGGAGGGGAACAGATTCCTGCGTGAGTTCTGTATGGCACCTCAGTACTTGGGTGACATTTTGTGGAAAGCAAGTAATTTTTGTTCCGTTACCTTCCAATTGAATGTCGGTGCTATACGTCCCTAATGAAATAAAAGCTTGGTGGCCTTTGGAAGCAGTTAAAGGATTGAGAAACTTTGTGACTGATCCCTGACCCCAGCTGGTCCTCCTTGCCTGAGCTAAAACTTCATGTAGTCTAGAGGGGATTGTGGCAGCTGGTTCTACTGTCTACTGGGGAGACTTGATGGTGTCTTCCCCCCACCCCCAGTCTCCACACACTCACTGCTGGTGTGACCCTTTATCAAGTCAGTTGGAGCCCACTTGTTGGAGTGACTCACTTATCTGGAGAGTTTGAAAACCCTGAACCTGTTATGTAGTTGGGTTAAGAAATTAAGATAAACAAGATTCAGCAGAATACATTTTTAATTTTTTTTTAACTTTCCACCAAGATCTGGAAATTTGGGGAGGTCAGGATAATCACCTTCCACATTTAAAAAGAGATGGGAGAAGGGCGCGGCTAGGTTCAGTGATGGAACGCTTGCCTTACATGTGAGGCCCCAGGTCCAACCCCCAATGCCATAGGAAAGAAAAGAGAAGAGAGGAAAGAAAGAAAGAAAGGAGTCCGTGGTGTGTAACAGAAACTGGGTGGTGTCGGCCGGTCCCAGGAGCAGAAGCAAAGATTTGATTATTGTGGTGAATTTTTTGCTAACAAGTAATGTGAAAAGAGGAAGATGTAATAAAAAACCAAAGACACAGTGTAAAAATTGTGCTGTTGTCTTCATTTTCAATCCTTCATCTTCCTCTATTGCCCTCTCTACGAATGGCCCCTCTGGGTGCTTCCTCTTCACTGCAGTCCATGAAAATATCTGTGGCTACCAGGGGCCTGTGGCCATGTCCTGCTGGAGGTGTGCAGCTGCTTATCCTGCCCTGTCTCCTGCAGTGTGCCAGGTGATCGGGATGTACGATTACACTGCACAGAACGATGACGAACTGGCCTTCAGCAAGGGCCAGATCATCAACGTCCTCAACAAGGAGGACCCTGACTGGTGGAAAGGAGAAGTCAACGGACAAGTGGGGCTCTTCCCGTCCAATTATGTGAAGCTGACCACAGACACGGACCCAAGCCAGCAATGTAAGTGCCCTAGCGGCTCTGTTCCTCTCCTCTCTGGTGTCTTCCGGTAAAACATGCAGCATTACTCTGATTCTGCTGAGCTTTGTTTGCAGAACTTAAAGCTAGACCACTGCTGCATTCACAACAGTCTCTTTGAAGACCTTCTGTAATGCAAGACTTTTTATCTTGTGGGGTTTTTGGTTTTGTTTTAAATTTTCATTCCTTCTGTAGCATGTTCCCACCCTTCCCTCCCCCTTTTTCCTCTTTTTTTTTTTTTTAAATCATTTTGGCACCACGCTGTTTTACATGCCTGACTCATTTTCCTAGCTTGAATTTTGCTCATTGTTTTGTTTTGCTTATGTGTTGTTTTCCTCCTTTTTCTAGGAATCATATGTTGTCCATCCCCCCCCCAGGCTTGAAAGTCCTCAAAGAGACCCACTATCCCATATCACTGCCCAGAGGGATGATGGGAGATGCAGCCTTGATCATGTGACTTCCAGCATGATCACCTACTGCCTTCTGAGTAGAAGAACTCACTGCAGAGCAGTTTACCTCATTTTACCTTAGTTGCATGTGATCGCAATGTTTGAGTTATACTTGCAGAGATAGAAGCAAAAATTACAAAAATACACAGGGTAGCGGGTCCTTTTGTGGCTTTCCTAGTTACTCAAATTGACTTCCCCCACCTTGGCACAGGTGCTTTCAATAGTTTTAAGATTATTTTTAAATACATATTTTAGTCTTTTAATAAAAATGAAATAAACCAATTCTTTGCTATTTTGGTTTTGCAAAAAGACCCACTATCAAGGAATGCTGCATGTGCTATTAAAAATTGTTCCAAATGTCCATAAATCTGAGACTTGATGTATTTTTTTTTTCATTTTGTCCAGTGTTACCAACTAAACTGTGTAGTTTGGGGTTTCCCCCCTACTATAGAAGTACAGTCAAGTATATCTGTTTTGAAGATGTGTAGAATGAGCCCAATTAAAGCGAAGGTGTTATGTGCTTGTTTGTGTGTATCAGATGTACCGTGTTGAGCATGTAATACATCCTGTACATAAGAAATGAGTTCCTTCCATGACAAATGCTATCCCTTTGTACGATGCTCTAATCATATTGCATTAATTTTATTTTGCACAGTGACCTTGTAGCCACATGAGAAAGCACCCGTGTTTTTGTTTGGTCTCAGATTTATCTGGTTGAGGTAGTATTTTGTTTGGGGTTTTTAATTTGACGTGTCTTCATCCCACAAATCAATAGACACCACCACCAAGGTGGTTACGATTGACGCTCTAGTCTTTTCGTCTCTGATCTGAAGTTTTATTCCAGTTACTTTTCATGGAATGATCTATTTTGAACAAGTAATTTTCTTGACAAGAAAGAATGTACAGAAGTCTCCCTGCAATTAATTTCCAATGTTTACATTTTTTTAAACTGGACTGTGGACTTTCTACAGATTAATATGAAATGGAGCTCATGGTCCGTTGATGTGTTAGATGTGCTGTAGCCGAAGCCATGTGTGTCCCTTAACACTAGTTGGAAGCTCTCAATAAAAATGCCCATGCTGACAGCACAGAACATGGGGAGGGGGGAGAGGGGAAGCCTCAAGCACAATCCAGCTGTCCAACTACTAATGATGTGACATGCCGTCCCTCCTGTGTGCCAGTCTCCCTTGGGAGGCGCCGGGCTCGCTGTTGTGTAGAGGTTCTTCTCATGGTGCAGAGGGTAAGGCCCTCCTCCTCCTCGTCCACTCGCGCTTCAGTATTTTCATGGATATGAATGTAAAATATATAAATATATAAACCTGCGGCTTTAACAACTGTAATACACCCTTTTGGAATAGTTACATGTATAGATAATTAAATTCTTCATATAAAAGTTAGATGGAAATGTCTCTGTGTTCTTGATGTTGGAAACTGGCTGTGGTGAGGGCACCACACACATGGATGTCAGCTCGCGTGTCGATTATGTGTGCGGCCAAGATGGAGCCCTCACGAGTTCTTTGAACGGCCCTCCCTCTTCCTCCTCCCCCCTAGCAAGTTCTGACCAATGGCTCTCAGCAATACTGGCTTCCCAGCATAGAGTGCTACTATCCAGGTTAGCTGTCAGCTAACTGTCAGCTGCGCCACCTGGCTCTCAGTTTATGCGGTTGACGCATGGTATCATAATAAGGGACTGGTGAACACCTAAAATCTATGTGAGTAAAGAAACATGCACTTTCCTATGTTTTTGCTTGGGATCTGCTTCTGCCTGGAGTCCTCTGGTGCTGGTTGCCTCTGGGGAAACAAGACAGCACACACACTGATGCCCCTGTCGCCTGTAGTGGTCACCTGCTTGATTCCTCCTCAAGAGCTTCACCTGCCCTTCAGTTGAAAAGAGATTCCAATTTTATTCGCCATCATCAAGCAAATATTTGAGGGGGACATCTATGTGCTGGGTGCCCCACTGGATTCTGGGAGGAGTGTAGCTCTCAGAGAAGACAGGGTTCCAGTCCTCATGGAATTCATATTCTGATGGAAGGAGTAGGCAAAAAGGTACATGTGTCTGTCTACACAGAGACAGACAGACAGAAATAGATAAGAGAGAGGAGAGAGTTTGAAGAAAAGGAGTGAAAGACATAGAATCACCCATACAAACATTTATGGTATGTGTGAGATATGTTCTGTGCCAGACAGTAGGGGTTAGACGAAGGGAGTGGACTGAGATCCCTTCAAGGGGAGGCTGTATTGCAGCTGAGCCCTGAAGGTAAAAGGGGGAGCCAGATGGTATGGGAAGACAAGTAGACCTGGGCAGGCCAAGAGCAGGACAGAGGTGAATTGTGCCCGCTGCTCCATCTCCTTGTGTAGCAGGCATCAGATCTGTAAACCTCATCTATTCTCCCAGGAACCCCCTTCACAGTTGATTCAGTTAGCCCGGGCTGCAGGGTATCTGTGTGATACCCACAGTTCTCTGCCAGAGGTGCTCCAGATCTAACAGAAGCTGGGGCTACAGCTCAGCACCCTGCAAGGGTGAGGACAGGGCCCACAACGAAAGATCTGCACCCAGGTGTCACCCATGCCCTGGGTGAGAAGCCCTCGGCTCACCCTGCTGCCCACTGAGCTTCATGTTCACATGGTTGCTTGCGGCAAAATGGACACCCCTTTCATGGCTGCTAGTTTGCTCTGGTAACTACTGTTAAGTACATTTAATCATTGATTAAGCTCATCTATTTGTAGCATCAAGAGTATCACATAAATCTTGGGTTTCTGTTTTAAATCTTCACTATTCTCTATATTCTCAGCACTTTGGCACTACATTGAAGTGGAACAAAAGGGAGAGAAGGTGTCTCCCACCTAATTTGGTGGAGGGATATGAAGTATGTCTTTGGCCTCAGTTTAAAGGAATTAGGTTTTGTTTTTTTAAGCTATTTGATGAAAATAACTGGTTCTTAAATCTTAGGACCATATGGGTCTTTGTGAATATATTTGCAACTGAACTTAGCAGTTTTGTTCCAGTGATGTGTAGGAAAGACCCAAAGGAGATTGCATTCACTTGTGATACCCTCTTGTGCTACACATCAGCCTTGGGAGGTAGGAAGCCCTAAGGGTTGGTTTCCCCAAGAGGCCTCAGTTATATAGTCTCTGTATAGAGGAATCTGAAAGAAATGGAGCTAGAGCAAGAACTCATACAAAATAGCACAGCATTGCATATTTGAAGGAAACTGGAGTGGCCCTGTTTCTGGAAGAAACCCAGGCAGGTCTAGGCTCCCGTGGCAAATGGCTTTTGGATCATCTATCAGACTTGGTGATTGGATAGCCTTGACTATCAGGAGTCATGAATAATACCTTCTGATAGGTTCAGCCATAGGAAGTCACCAGCATTGCTGCTTTCTTGCCTATAAAAAGCAGTGATTTCCCATGGCTCAACCCAGTACAATATACCTGTGCCTGGCACATGGTAGATCAGGTACTCAAGAATGCCTTTTGTTGGAATGGACCAAACCAACGACTGTGGGAAACACCACATTACCGTGCAGAAAGAGCCACAGTGGCCCCCATTTGCTCTTCCTGCTGCATCTCCAAAGCAGCAGTCTTGGGAGGGGCCCTTCCTGCAGAAACCTATTTCTTTTTTTTATTATTTTGTTCTTATTTTTCCCTTCCCTTCTTCACATCCATTCCCATGCTTTAATTAAATATCATTCCTATGAGACAGTAAATAGTATTTTATTTCTTTAGGCAAAATTAAGAATTCCTATCATTCTTTTTAGTTCCAAAAGCAACCCCCCAAAATGTTTAGAAACTACATTGAATGTCAGTATACATATATACATATATGTATATCTATACATATATGTACTAAAATTTAAAACATCTGATACCCTACGTATCTAGTTCCATTTAGTTGAATTTCGAGGGGCTTTTTTTCACCCTAGAGAACCCTATATAGGAAAAAACAGACTTCAGAATGTGTCCTGATACATAGTTAATGAATCAAAGATTCTTTTTCTTTTTTTTTTTGGGTCCGGTCGTGGGGCCTGAACTCTGGGCCTGGGCGCTGTCCCTCAGCTCTTCAGCCCAAAGCTAGCGCTCTACCACTTGAGCCACAGTGCCGGCTTTTTTCTTTTTGCTTATGTGGTGCTGAGGAATCGAACCCAGGGCCTCAGGCATGCAAGGCAAGCGCTCTACCACTGAGCCACTTTCCCAGCCCTCTTTTTCTTTTTTAATCAAGGATTCTTTAGCTTTAGGAAGATGCTGTTCTTTTTTACTGAAAGCTCCTCAGGCATTTAAAATAATATGGCAATTAAAATATTAATTTTTGTGAGTATTAGGCTCATGCATACTGTGTCAACTTGCTTTGTGTGGGTGTGTGTGTGTGAGAGAGAGAGAGAGAGAAAGGCCGTAGAAGGAGCCAGTCACTGTGGATAGGTAACCTGAGGTTGGAGCCTGCCTGGTTGGCACATTCTGGCAGAGGCTTACAGCTGCACTTCTACATCTGCCTGACACATGGTTTCCAAGTGATGTTGCAAAAATCTCAGAGGAAGT